AGCCATGCCCATAAAAATTTCCGGTGCAGGCATCCTCACCAATGCCATCCGTGCAAGATTCGTCCATGCAGCAAGCTCCCGCTGCTCGACACTGATCTCCAACCATAGCACACATGGATCCGGGGCCGAAGAAGTAGCCCATACATGAATCTTCCGTCGTACCATCATCACATGTGCCTGCGTCCTCGGTACAACATGCACCTTTCTGAGGCATGCACGTGTATTCGCCATCACCCAGTGGCTCGCAATCGTGGTACTCAGGACAGGGATTGTACTCACATGGGTCTGCCGGCATGCACATATATGAACCTGTGCCATCCAGGGCACAAATCTCGCCCGCAGGACATGTTTCTGACTGACAGATGTCAACACACTCGTGTCTCTCTTGATATCCTTCTGGGAGTATGTTGCAGTACTGTGAGATACTATCACACATACCCTCCACACATATGTCTTCGCATAGAATACCGGCACCATCTTCGATGCAATATTGCGTTGCTTGATCGCATGCTAGCGGATAACACACTGGTCTGCACATGTATTGTCCTCCCATGCCCGGCGTGTGTTCACACACGGTGTGTTCCTCACATGGGTTTGATGCACAAGCATCGATAAGTTCACATTCGTAGTTCCCTTGCCCGAGGTCAATGCACTGGTGGTGCTCGTCGCAGGGGTTGAAGTCGCATTGGTTCATGGGCATGCAGACGAATCCACCCGTTCCATCGAGAGCACAGATCTCATGGTCTGAGCATCCTGCATTGTCGCATATGGGCCGGCATTCGAATCCTGAGGCATCCTGCACATCACCAGCAAGCACAATACAGTGCTCTGATACTGGATCACAACTTTCGGGTCGGCAAATGTCCTCACAGTGCCAGGCCATATCATCTTCTACACAGTACTGCATAGCTGGGTCGCAAGCGGCTGGGTGGCACACCGGTCTGCAGTGGTAGCTGTTGGTAGTGCTGTCAGGAATGCAAATCTCTGCGTCGGACATGCATGGTTGGCTGATGCAAGGATCTCGTTCAACACACGTGAAACTTCCAGTGGGATCCAATACACAGTCCTGAGTAGTGGAATCACATGGTGAAGGCTCATCACACAGTCCTTTGCAGAAATAGCCTCCTGCATGGTCGAGTTCACATACCTGTGACATCATATCGCATCTGTTTTCGTTACATATATCCTTGCAGTAGAAGCTACCAGTTCCATCTAATTCGCATGTTTGTGACATCATGTCACATGGAGCATTATCACATATCGGTCGACAGTAATGGCTGCCCGTGCCATCGGGTTCGCAGGTCTCTGACATCATATCACAAGCGTTCTCATGACAAATCGGATTACAGTAGTAACTTCCTGTACCATCCGGGACACAGGTTTCGGACATGATATCACACGTGGTCTCGTCGCAAATGTCCTTGCAGTAAAAACTACCGGTGCCATCTAACTCACAGGATTGTGACATCATATCACATGACGTATCGGTGCATATTGGCTTACACTGATAACTCCCAGTCCCGTCCAATTCACAAGTTTCAGACATCATATCGCAGGTGAACTCGTCGCAAATGGGTTTGCAGTGGAAGCTGCCTGTGCCATCCAATTCGCAGACTTCTGACGACATATCGCATGAGCTCTCGTGACAGATTGGTTTGCATTGATGATTTCCTGTTCCATCTGGCTCGCATATTTCGGACGTCATGTCGCAATTATGTGAATCGCAGATGGGCTTACACTCAAAACTGCCGGCCCCATCATAAAGCAACACACAGTTTTCTTCCATATAATTACATGTCTGTTCGTTGCAAATATCCACGCAGTGATAGCCACCGTCCATTGTTTGACATACCGAGCTGTCATTATCACATGGGTTGCTCAGACATGCATCACGCTCCTGGCAGTAAAATCCGCCGGCATAGTCGAGTATGCAATCCTGAGTCGTCTCATCACACTCACAGATTGATCGACAGGTATAATCTCCAGCGCCATCAACTTCGCACACCTCCGACATCATGTCACATGATGACTCATCGCATATTGGTTTACAGATGAACCCACCAGCTCCGTCGAGTTGACATACATCAACGGCGTAATCGCATGTTTGAGCATCACATATATCTCGGCAGATATATTGTCCGTCAGCTTGAGGTTCGCATCTGGTGGAGACAAAGTCGCAGGGGGAATGATAGCAAGGATCAGTTGGGACACACTCAAACGTGTACATGTCCATAGTTCTGCATTCCTCATTTGTCATACACGGAGTACTGTAACATGGATCCATTGTTCGACATTCGACTCCACCCATCATGTCTAACTCACACGAGTGTGTTGATAGATCACAGTTACTTGCATTGCATATGTCTTCACATACAAATTCATTAGGTAGATAGGGCTCCTGCGATATACAGATTTGCAAGTTCTCATCGCATGGCGAGTTCAAGCAAGGGTCTTCGTGTGGAACACAAACGTAGTCTTCCTGTGAGTCTCGTACGCATCTCATGTCGGCGCTACATGGTATTGCATCACAACCTACGTTTTTGTGGCAATAGTATCCATTGCCGTCACTCTCGCAACGTTCGTCCGCATTACATGGATTGCTGCTGCAGTCACTAACCGCTTGGGCATATACGTGTTGTACAGCCACAAGAAGCGCTAGTAGTATATAGAGTGGTCGTATAGCTTTAGAAAATATCATGGTGTACGGTTTGAGTCTAATTCTATTTTAAACAAAAACTTATTTGTTTTGTGAGCATATAATCACGGCAGTGACCTCCTTAAGTAGTACAGGTTGCTTACACGCTCGCAATCGTTCAACAAGGCCGTTATACAAAACAATTTGCTCATTTCGGACTTTGGAATGTATTGGTGACACGCAACGCAAGGTAGGAATTATCCTTCTCTCTTAGATCCAACTCGACTTAAGTTAATACGAGTCTCACTCTGAAAGCGATATTATACTTTCTCGAGCAAAATTTTAACGTTCGCGCTACTTGGTGAGCAAGCCCCTTCCGGACAATTTCTTTCACAGTCACGTCTGTCACAGTTTCTCCAAAAGAGCTGATGACGATTACATAGTTTAGAAATACCATCAATATGTACCATACTTTCCGAGGCTTCAACAAATTTCAAACTATTGCAGATTGCGTTGGAGCGGTTGGACAGAAACATTTCCATCTCAGAGTAATTACAACACAGAAGCTTTGTACATCTATACAATGACATTCCACATAGCGAGAGCCAAGGCCCGATTCGTTCTCGAAGGGAAGAAGTCACGAAGGGCCCCTTCGTCTCATATTAGTTCGTCTCACATGAAAAAAATATAAAACAGTCTTGTTTTTTATTTGAAATAAGTTGTTTGTGACTTTGTGTTGATATTGTTGACATTTGAATTATCAAATTATTTACATAAATACACATAGCCTTCTGAAAATTAAACAAAATACAGGAGACAAAAAAGAAAGCGGCTTTCTTCTGTTACAATAGACCAATAAAATAGTAATAAAGTGAAAACATGTAGATAACTTATTTGTACTATATTGCGCAGTGAGTGAAGTGACTGTTGACTGTTGACTGTTTTTTTTGGGGGGGTTTTGTAAAAATAATTAATTTTAATTTTTACTCTCCGCCAGTAGATTATAATCTCCAGGCTCGAGATTAGAATACGTGTACACTGTACAGTGTCAATAATGTGTGTGTATATAAATTATAAAGCAGACTGGTCAAATTGAAAAATATTTCAAATATTACGCATGACCATTCGGCTGTCTAGCCTCAAACCTTATTCCGTTAAAATGTTTGTATATACGTTAAAAATCCTTTTACGGTGCTTTGTACGTTCTTAGGTGCACCTTGCGGGTCTAAAAGTTTTTGTGTACAATTTCTACTATACGAACCAGTCCTATAAAAACTTAAAAAGAACTTAGGTAGGTCCCTCTAATCACATTATAACCGTTATAACGTTTTAAAATTGAGAAAAACGTATATACATCGAATACATAGATATACGCTTACGCCCTACGCTCAAGGTTTAAGGGAATGATGGCCCTTTCAAAAAATATATAAATAAAACCGACATGATGGGAAGTCGGAAGAGTGAAGTCGATTTCGTAAACAAATACATAGTCGGCTAATCGCAGGCACGCAGAGTCGCAGAGTGAGGACTGAGGCGTGAAGCCGACTCGCAAAGTCAGTTAATCAGAGTATCACTCAGAGTATCACCACCCACAGTCATGAGTCACCTCAGGGGCCGGAGGAATGTAATCAGTTGTTTGGTTTGTTTGTTTTAAAAATAGAACTTTATGTTTTAGGTATATAGTTTCTAATTCAGAAGGCTATGAAATACTATTTTATTTTTATTTACTATTAAAACTTTATAGATGTATTTACGTACTGCTCTAGTCTACTACACGATACATATTGTTTTTTATTATTAAAAATTATTAAATAAATACACTGGAAACTGGAGACTGGAGTGGGGAGTGGGAGTCTGGGACTATTTTTTTTTTTAAAACACAACACATTCGTTTTGTGAAAAACCCCGGGGACGAAATGGAATGTCAATAAAATTTAACTTCACGTTCACGTTTTTGGTTTAAGAAAAAAAAGAAAAATGAGGGAATTTAAGTATGTAATTATGACTAAATATGCGTATAGTGTGGTAATTTGACAGTGTAAAGTGTAAACTATATACAAAAATGTGAGAATAGTTCTCGGGTGTGTGTATTTTAAAAACGTGTTTTCTAAACAGTAAACAAGCCCACCCCCCCCCCCAAATAGATAAAAAACAATGAATACCTCCCAAGATTTGTGAAATTTTAAATATTACTGTAGCGCACTGTGGTGGTTAAGTTTGGGTAAAAAAAAACTGAGGAATGTTGATACAGTGGCGACAAATTCCAACACTAGAGATGGATAAAAATAGTTCCAAAACTAACTGCAAATATTATTTTCCTCACGCTACCACTATACTCATTGGGCACAACCCATTCCACCCCATGAGTATACTAAAGCGATAGTCGAAAGTTGCGAATTTTCCTCCACGGCTTCACGCTGCTGCAAGCCTAAACGCGATCGCTTGCAACTGCATAGAGCGCACGTATTGTCATTCCCATATTCGCGTGGCTGTTGAGTCCAAGCACATACGTTGATCTACGATAGAGTAGCTACATCTGGATTTTGGCAGGCGATTTATCCTAGCATCAGATATGAAATAAGACTCTAATCACATACGATATGAATAAGCCTCCCTTCATTATAAAGTACTACTGCACCGAGGTTTACAAGCCCTATAGAAGGAATGAACCACCGCCGCCACCCAGCTTCCGCTTCTTTTTCGGCCGCGCAATTCCATTCAGAAACGATCCATTGTCCTGTCCTAATTCTTGTAACTGCGCGAGGATAGGGATATTGGGATATAGAAAGTTAAATGGAGTAAGCAAACAAACTTTTACCGTTCGAACAATCAGCGTTTCAATACGCCGCTGCGTGTGAGAGGCGCATTCATTACCTAAAACGTATTGAACACTCTAAAAACCGAGCATTGCCATGCCAATTCTTGAATTGGGAGTTGAGTTGTATATCAGCCACGAAACTACTGGTACAGGCCAGATTTTGCCCATATTATGTAAACAAGCACACACACTCTCGGCAGCTCCGGACGTTGTAGGTCCATACAGCAGAAACGGGCAAACTGACGAGAGTGCCATTGAACGCGCACGCGCAAAAGGTACTCATACTATAACACACAATCGACTCACCGGTGGTACCATTTCTACAACACACACTCGACTCACCGGTTGCGACATGTTCAGGCTGGTCTCTGCACTGCTGGCAAAGAACGGGAGGGCGGATCGGTTATTCCGGCTGACATCTAGGTCACTCGCCGAGTCCTTCCTGCGGGGTATACTGTACATGGCCGGGTTGAACACCTTGACTGGGGCGGCCTGTGCCTGCCTGTGCCTGCTCAGACTCATGCCCACACTCACGCTCTCATGTGCAAGCACTCCATCGAACGACGCGTCTGCGCCGGCTATCCAGCTGCCGTTGCGACTGTGTGCGCGACTACCACCTGCACCAGACAACGTAAGCGTTAACTCAGCACACGAGGACACAGAAGCTCTGCAGTGGATCTGCAGAATGCATACGGATTGTTCAATTCATGTGCATGAACTATCAATGTATATATGCCCGAGCTATTGTTAGTGAGCATACAAGGTACATGTATGCTTTAAAAACTTAAAAAATATACATATACATACACATGCACATATACATATACATACACATGCACATATACATATACATATAAACATGCATATACCCATTCACACACACGCACATATATATATATATATTCCTTAGCTGACACATATGCGGACTTGAAGAAAGGCACGCACACATACAAGCACACCCACCGCACCTTTCTTGTGGCACCTCATCTTCCGCTGCCCGGCTGTGTTGGCTGTCCTGGCAATATTATCCCTCAAATGCTTCTCCATGTTCACAAAGTTTCTGTACGCCGTCGGGCCACTCACAGTGGGCGCCTCCTCCGTCTGCGACGTCTCACTCGCCACACGCTCAGGCCCATCCACACCCACACTCACCCCACGCGCTTGTCTGCACGCAGAGATGGTCGTAGCAGCCGTGCCTGATGGTGCTGTGCCTTTGTCTGTGCCTTTGGGTCTTTTCTTGACCCCATTCCGCTTGTCCTTGCTGCGTGCGCGGTGTGTGATCCAGTTGTCGCCACTCACATCGACGTCAGCGCCTGCACTGGCTATGCTACTACCACCGCCACCCATACGCATACCATCGCCTGACGCCTTGGTGGGGCGTTGGCTTTGTTTCTGCATGTTCTGCGTTGTGTGTTGACTGCCCTTCTGCGTGTTGTTGTCTGTGTGATTGGGGTTGTGTCGGTTGCTCGTGTCCACTAGTATCGTCTCCGCATTGTCTCTGTAGGTAACGGGTGCTGCTGAGTTCTCCACAGGAGCGTCTGCATGCCCAACCCCTCCTGCACCCACACCCACACCCGGGGCCTCCTGGGCAGCTGTGCTGGTGCTGTCCGTATGCTCTGTGGTGTCCTGTGCGCTGCTTGCACCTGCCCTTGTCTTCCCCAGGGCCTTTGCAGGCTGTGTGTCATGGTCGGTGGGGTCTCGGTCACTCGTCGGACTTTCTAACTCTGCGCCGCACTCGCCCGTCGATGTATCGTTGGTTGCTTTGTCGGCTACCGCCTGGCTAGTTGTAGTTACAGCACTTGCCGTGGCAGCTTCGTTCTTCCTCTTGGCCTTTCTTGTATTCTTATTCGGAGCGGCCGCCTTATCTTGCTTCCTATTGGCGTTTGCTGTACCCTTATCTTGCTTCTGATTGGGTGATAGTATCACTTCCTCTCGCGCATTCTCGCTATCTCCAGCCCCATCCGTCCCATGCTTAGCATCCGCGCCTTTATCGCGTGCCTCCGCAAGTACCGAACTTCTCTTCGCATCGGGTCGTACACTCGCACGTGCCGGAATAACCGTCTTGTGCGTGTTCTTCTTCGCGCGGTGGGTGTGTGCATGCGTGCGTGCGTGTGCCTGAGGCAGCCGCTGCGTGTGCACAGGTAGCAGACCCTCTATATCGGCGTCGTCCTCGCTTTCGCTCACGTACGTGGTGTTCTTGAGCTGTTGTGCGTGGACCTTAGCCGTCATCAGCAGCGTGTCACAGCACATCTCCAGCGCCAGCCGCTGGCTGTTGTAGTCCTTGATAGCCTCAAACACTTCTGCACTGTTAGCAGAGGAAGACCAGCCAGTCACACTATGAGAAACAGCCCACATGGATGGGCATAAGGTACAATGCATGCAGGTGTAGAAGACAAACGAACTAGCACAAGGCACAATATAAGCACAAACGGATATGCACCAACGAATTAGCATAAGGCACATCTCAAACGAACACGCACAAACGGATATGCACGAACGGATATGCACAAACGGATTAGCATCAGGCACAACTCAAACGAACGCGCACAAACGGATTAGCACAAGGCACAACTCAAAAACGAACACGCATAAACGAATATGCACAAACGGATTAGCACAAGGCACAACTCAAACGAACACGCACAAACGGATTAGCACAAGGCACAACTCAAACAGATATGCATCAGCTCGTTTGTAGTTCTCGGAAGTGTGGAACGAATCAGACACTGAGCGTACAACTAAACCGCACACGCACAGTACAGTCGCACGAGCATAGGACCTATCTAATATGAGTGCACACACACACGCACACGCACACGCACACACGGCACTCGCCTAACACGGGTCAACGGGTAACATTACTTGGAACTAGGGTTTACACTTTAGGGCTTTCCAAATACCGCCTCCCCATACACTGTGGACCGTCTTCCACCGCTCGCGAGGACTGATTTGATGCGCACACAATCGAACGAAGTGTATATGCACACATAACGAGACATACGACACACGCACTCATGCACACACATAAACACACACTCATGCACACACACAAATGTACACACACGTATACATACACACACATGCACACACACGCATACATACACACATACATACACACACACGCATACATACACACATACGCATACACACACACACATGCACACATACGCCTACACACACACATGCACACACACGCATCCATACACATGCGCACGCACGCATGGATACACACGCATGCACACACATACATCTCAATCTCTAATGCTGAGCGTGCGCGGGCGATTTCCAGTAGCCGCACCGACAGCGTTGGGTTATGCTTGTGCTTGATCTGATTGGATGAGAGCGCAATGGTATGAGTGTGCATGGAGGTGTGTCAGAGCAATACTACATAGAGACAGATGGCTTCAGGCGCAAACAGCCACTCGATTCTAACCATAACAGGCGAATTCACAAACAGCAGCTCAGGCATGCACACACGTACACACAGATACACATTAACAGCAGCTCAGGCATGCACACACATACACATAAACAGCAGCTCAGGCATGCACACACGTACACACACACATACATAAACAGCAGCTCAGGCATGCACACACGTACACACATATATTCATAAACAGCACCGATTGCACACGCACACAGGAACATCGCCTGCTGTGCGTGTATGTGTGTGTACGTGTGGGCATGCCTGATGTGTATGTATGTGTACGTATGTGTGCGTAAGCCTGCTGTGCGTGTACACGTGTGTATGCTAATTAGACTGCCATGCACATGCTTATGCATGAGAGTAATCCCTTGTTCAACCATTGACCTGTAACTACGTGACTACTGTGTGGTGCTGCAGCAGATAAAACGCTCCCACATATCATCGAATTGGGCACAGAACCTGATAGTGCTCTACTACATAACACACACACACACACACACACACACACACACACAACAACACACACGTAGTACATACA